TCAGTGGAAATGGATTCTTCCTGTTTCCACTAGTTGCTCAGGGTGGGCCTTCATGCCAAGGCAAATCTCAGGAAGACCTCTGCAAGGCAGTCATGCTAGGGCAGATGGACAGGGGTGGATAACACTTCTGGGACAAGAACCTCCTTTGTAAACAGGAATCAGGCTCTGAATAAGGAGTTAAAATGGTCACACTGAGCACTGCATTAGATGCTTTATCCTGTAATCTTGTATACATAATTAATGATGATTTGTGAGTGCAGAGATTGTTTTTAATTCTCATTACCCATTAAAAAGAAGATTCTCTTTCTTGGTTGTGTATTAGTATGCAAATTAACCCCCGCCCCCCCACCGCCGGTGTCATTTGGCCTCAATCCAGTGGTCATATTCCTCACATGCCTTTCAGGTCCTAATGACCCTATATGGAGTCCATGGTGATGAATGCAAGGTACATGGAATTATTAATGATCTTAAAGATAATTTTAGAAAAGATATGATATCTGACAATTAATAAATTATCAGGATTGTTTATCTTCGGCATAAAAGTAATTTTTTTTAAGTTAGCAAGTGACTTAACTGACTTCTATTTCTTCTCTTGTATGATTAATAGACCTAGAAACTAGCTAACCACCTCCTCTCCTTGTTAGTCCCCCTCTTCGGCTTTCCACACTTGTCTGGGAGGCTGATACAAGGACGTTTTTCCAATTCTTCGAGCCTGGTGCCTGGCAAAGATATAGAAGACAAAGGTTAAAAGCCAACTTTGAGGGCTTCCCTGGTCGTGCAGTTGTTGGGATTCCGCCTACCGATTCAGGGGACGCAGGTTCGGGCCCCGGTCCGGGAGGATCCCGCATGCCGCGGGGCGGCTGGGCCCGTGAGCCATGGCCGCTGGGCCTGCGTGTCCGGAGCCTGTGCTCCGCAACGGGAGAGGCCACAGCAGTGAGAGGCTTGCGAACGGCTAAAAAAAAACAAAAAAAAAGCCAACTTTGACCCGATATACCAAGGACTTGACTGTAGACAGAAACAATGTGGTTCTCTACCAGAAATGTGTTTTCTGGATAATGCTGTCTTGGATTTGAAGAGGTAACTTAATACACAGCAAGAGTCCCTGAGAACAGTGGTTCTCCCCTCAGATTGGGGGAATGCAGATACTTAACTGCATTTTTTTGAAAATCTTTACTTTTGAGTGGGTGGATATGGAAGGGGCAGTGAGAGTGGCATCTGCTAGGAGCTGATACTAAGTGGCACATCTACTAATGTCAGAGTCAACAGTGAGTTTAATCAACATTATTTTGTGCTTCATTTTTGTATCCTATGCCTAATATAACACAGGCCTGACCTAAATTTGACCTGTAATAGATGTGTAATGGGTTGAAATTGGTGTTCTTTCCCTTCTCTATCTGTATGTTGTGGACAGAGAAATGTGTTAAGAATCAGGAAAGCAGAATTGTAATTTTGGATATGTCTTTTACTAGCTATGTGAGTTTTACAAACTCATTTCACTGTTCTTATTGTTTGGACAATGATGCTTGTATTGGATGATCTTTAAATTCCTTTTACCTTCATGATTTATAATCTATAGATAATATAATGACCATAGGACGGTTAAAATCAGTAGTTTTCTGGTAAATGTTATTGACTGGCTTTCAAAAAAATAAAAAATAAATAAAAAGAAAGCTGTAATTTATGATGTTTGTCTACTTCTAAATACTCCTGCTGTGGCCAATTTTAAGCTACCAAGGTGAGATCACTGAACGTGGAATTGGGAAGAAATGGGCATGTTCAGCTATTCCAAGCCAAGAGGAGCCAGTTCTAGCACACTATAAACCCCCAAACAGTATATTATTCTACACTAAGAGACTGAAAAGTATGCTAATATAGTTGAGAAGAAATTAATGATGGTAAACAAAAGAAAGTTTCCAGCGTTAATGAGAAAATTAATGCATGGATTGTCTCAATTTTTAATACTTTGACTAGTGACCACACTGTAACAGTTTTTAAAAAGAATGGTAGGCCATGTAATGGTTTTCAAAAAGTCACAGATACAGGGTTTCTCTGGTGGTGCAGTGGCTAACAATCCACCTGCCAATGCAGGGGTCACAGGTTCGAGCCCTGGTCCGGGAAGATCCCACATACCGCGGAGCAACTAAGCCCGTGCGCCACAACTACTGAGCCTGCGCTCTAGAGCCCATGAGCCACAACTACTGAGCTCGCATGCCACAGCAACTGAAGCCCGCACACCTAGAGCCTGTGCTCTGCAGCAAGAAAAACCACTTCAATGAGAAGCCCGTGCACCACAACGAAGAGTAGCCCCCATTCGCTGCAACTAGATAAAGCCACGCGCAGCAATGAAGACCCAATGCAGCCAACAATAAATAAATAAAATAAATTTATAATAAAAAATAAATTTATAAAAAGTCACAGATACATGTAAAGACAGTATTAGTTTCAAAAGTTGAATCTTTTAGTATGGCAGGAAGCAATATTTAGAATCTGATCTAATGCTTTAAGTGCTCTTGCTATAGCTCCAAGATTAGTCTTAAGCCAAGACAGGACAGTGTTTACATCTCCACCACACAGAGGATTAATATATATCAAGGAATGTTGGCAATACTTTACCTTGGTACCCATTCATGCATTGCTTATTGGTCACCATGAGCATTAGAACAGAATGGTATTATTGAAATGCTGCAAACAATGCAAACTAAAAATAAGTCCTCTGAAAGGGATGAGAAAGGACATCAAAGAATGTCTATTAGACCTATTTTATTATTCTTTTTAAATTTAGCATTTCTATGTTTTGGGAAAGGGATGCAACTAGCTTAGCTTATTCTGTTGTTGGAAGTTATTTGCTCCAATTTTTAGGATTATAGAACTTTAGAGTTGGGTAGAATATTCGAGATCCTTTCTTCACTGCGTGAATTGAGATTTCCATTTATTTATATATCATCAGGTACCAGATAAGTTTGGCACTTGAAAAATTACCTGGGTTTTTTCTATTCATATAAAATATCTAAGCTAGAGATTCAGTTCAGTTTTATGTTTATCAAGCATCTCCAGTGTACTGGGTTGCTGAAGATAATAAGAGGTATAAATTATGGACTCTGACTTTAAAGGGAGCTCATATTTTAAAAATAGGGGTTCCAAATGTGAACAGATAATTGCAAAATGATGCAATAAGTCTGTTATTAGAAGTATGAATGGAATGCTTTGATAGACTTGAGGCTCTTAATGCAGTACGGGGAAGTCAGAGAAGACTGGAGAATATGCTACTGGTGCTGGATTATGAAGCATTTATAAATGTGTGTGTGTGTGGGGGGGGGCTGGTGGTGGTAGCAAGGGCATTCCAGGCAGAGGGAAGAGACTGCTGATGCCAGAAACAAACAGTGTTGACAGTGACAGTGTAAGAGTCAATAATATATTAAAAAGGACCTCTACAAAGGTTTAATTCAACAAATAGGTGTTGAGGTCAACTTTGCTGAAATCATCTGCCATCGAATAACATGCCCTTCATGTAGACATGGCAGTGATTGAATGCTCTTTCTTATTTTACTGTTGAGAATATTACATATTATTCGTAATTTCAATGTTTAAAAAAGCTTCCATTTTTTTCAAAATAAGCCTAAACGTATCAAGTTTTAAGAAAGACCAATTGCAAAATTGTGATGGAGGTTGGCTACTGTTATCTGCTCCCACAGCTCTCCTCACAACACGCAGGTCTTCACCCTCTCTCATTACCTACCACCCCATTCAGTTCAAATCTCTGCTGCTCCATCTTTCTCTGCTTTCTCAGGAAGGCAAAGTGAAGACTCAGAACCATTCCTTCCAAAAGATCATCAGTGCTGCACTATGATTATGAAGTCAAATAAGTCATCAAAGATTGAAGGAAAGGGCAGGAGGACTTATTTATTCCTAACCAGGGTAGATAATGGCCCAAAAATGATGTTAGAGAAATCATGGTAAAATTTTCTTTTCTCATTAATTCTCACATTTTTACTTTGTATATTATGTAAAGATCACACAATTATATAACCACTGATTATGTCAGAGTCTTGTAAGTAGTAGGTATTCAAAATGTATTTGGTGAATGACTGAATATAACTTAATTGAGCAAAACAAACAAAATAACACGGCTGCTGGGATAACTTGATAGCCACATGCAAGAATGAAGTTGGATACTTACCTCACTCCATATACAAAAATTAAATTAAAGACCTTGGGAGGGGTCAATGGGGAATGACTGCTAATAGGTACAGGATTTCTTTTTTGGGTTTTGAAAATGTTCTGAAATTAGATAGTAGTGATGATTGCACAGTGTTGTGAATCTACTAAAAAGCATGAATTGTACACTTTAAAAGGGTGAATTTTAAGGTATGTCATTATATCTGAATAAAAAAATAGATGCCCAAAACACCCAAAACAAACAGCAACTATAAAACCATAGTTAAGAAAGTTTCATTGAGGCTGTCATTGAAATGTTCTACCTCGGTGGTCCTAACATGGAAGAAGAATCTAAGTTAAAGATGAAAGAACATGTTTTAGTTAAAACAAAATTGAAAATAGTAAAAAAGATGTACTGTATTTTAATAATGCTAAGATGCACATTTTTTTCACATTTCTGAAATGGAAATGAATCTTATAATTGCTGGTGTGTCACAGTTTATTTGGCTGCTTTTTTTTTTCTTTCTTCACGGTACATAAAATTGTGATATATCTTAGCTTCAGTGAAATGCTTAATTTTTTGAATAATGTGACCGAGGCTGCCAGTTGTCCCTCAATGTATTCTCCTCTTCTCACACAGTAATAAAATTTAACTGGGTAAATGGCTGCCCAGCCAAAACGGTATTCCAGATTTTCTTGATAGCTAGTTGTGGCCACATGTGTAAGTTCTGGCGAGTGGTATGTACACAGAAGTAATATGTGCACCTTCTGGTTTGTGCCCTTAAAGAGAAGGAGCGTGCCCTCCCTTCTCTCCTTCTCCTCTTTTTTTCCTCCCTCCCTACTTTTTCCTTCTCTTTCTTTTTGTTCCCTCCCTCCTCCTTCATTCCTTTCCTTCTAAATTGTAGACATGATGGTGGGTGCTAATGGCCATCTTGATCTATGAGATAGAAACGAAGTGTTGAGGGTGGTAAAGAATGAGAACAGACACCTGAGTACTTAATGCTAATGAAACCAATACACTAGCCCTAGATTGACTATGCAGAATTTTATGTGAGAGACAAATAAAGTTCTAGCTTGTCTAAGTCACTCTTATTTTGGGTGTCTCAGCTACAGGAGCTGAAAAATATTCTATATAATATGAATGGTTTCTGACTTTCATTTTTCTTGAAGTAAACTGTTATTACTTTCTCCAAAGTGTTAAATTCTGCTCCTTCTAAACACATACACACACACACACACACACATATATATCTGGGCCCAAAATGAGTTACCAAATATAGCATTTACTTATAAGGAATGTATTGTGAATAGCTTTTCAGTTTTCATTATCATGGAAGGATGATTTCAGCTCACATTCAGTCTATATTTCTAAAGAATACCTTTGTTAGGGCTGTCTGTTCAATGCAATGGAAGACAGCCTTTTCAGTGTAACTGAGACTTCTTGATAATGCTAAATGTGCCTCGTCAGTTAAATTCTTCTGGCTTTGCGTTGGTGTGGTAAAAATACATGATCGGATTTCATTGTTAAGAAAATTCTTTCAGCAATACATGTACAGTCAAGTTTGTTGCCTGGATAGCTGAACATTTCGGTCATGAGATTAAAAAAAAAAATGTCTCATGACAAAACTTGAAATGGAAATGTAACCATCTGGAAGTCTAGTTCTGCCTTAGAGTGGCAAGGCTGTGAAGAGCTGTGCTGCTGGGAGTGATGCCACTCTGTCCTTTTGACAGCCAGACTCTTGTTCTTCATATTTGAGGAGATGGGACAGTGAGGAGGCCTGTTGGCTTGAGCTTATTAATGCCACCATCTAGAATACAGATTCTTGGATATTTCATCTTCACAAGATGAGCCGCAAACTGAAAAAAAAGGGAAAAATTTATAAAGGATACACAAAATTGATATATCTCCAATCCCGTTTTTTTCTCAAGCTGTGATAGACAAACGATAATGATAATGTTATTACTGCTGTCACTGTTCTATCAACGAATCATTAATTTAGTTTTTAATATAAATTAAATCCCTCTTTTCAAACGTATTTATGCTATGGGATAAATGTCTCTCTTTAATTCTCTTGTAAACTTGTTTGAATAGGCAATAAATATACTTGGTAAACAATTAAACAATATAAAAGGGTATACCATGAGACTATGCAGGTAAATTCCTACCTCTGTTCTCAGTCTCCCTCTCCAGAGAACATTAATATTCCTATTTTTCATATATCCTTCCAGTGAGAGTCAAAATATTCTCAAATCTATATTTTGAACAGTTTTTACAGTATTTTCAACATATTAGTTATTGCAATTACATGCACAATATCCCAGAGAAGGCCCATGAACTGGTTCTAACATGTTTTTGGAGCAACTGCAATGAACAGTTTGAGACCATAAATTTGGAATAAATTTGAAGGACTGCTCCAAGAAGTCTTCTAGATGCCTAGCAAAGCAGGGCTTTGAAAAATTATCAAGACATACACATTTCTCTCTGACTTGCCCATGTCTACCTATCCAGGATCATTGATTATCTTTCTCTACTCCTTGTACTTTACGATGAAGCAGTCCTGGACTGTAATCAATCCCCTGACAGATGGGATCATTTTAGGATTCAGAGTCTTTTTTGGTTGTGCACTGTCTGTTGGAAACATGCTCCATTTCCCACCAACTCCTGGTCCCCTGTTTTAGTTTCTCCTCACAAGCAACCCCCCACCCCGACCTGCCTAATTTCTACTTACTTCCTTACTCGGGCAATTCCTTGTTTAGGAGCTAAGTTTCCATTAGGGGGCCCTCTTTTCAGGCCCCCAGATTTTTTGTGCAAACCTCTACCTTTGGCTTACCACATTTATTTAAATTGCCCATTAAAGAGCCTGCTTCCTCTAGCAAACTGTAAACTCCTCTAGGACAGTGAGAGTGTTATTTCTTTTTTGCTTAACATCTTTATTGGAGTATAATTGCTTTACAATGTTGTGTTAGTTTCTGCTGAATAACAAAGTGAATCAGCTATATGCATATGTATAGCCCCATATTCCCTCCCTCTTGCGTCTCCCTCCCACCCTCCCTATCCCACCCTTCTAGGTGGTCACAAAGCACCGAGCTGATCTCCCTGTGCTATGCGGCTCCTTCCCACTAGCTATCTATATTACGTTTGGTAGTGTATATATGTCCATGCTACTCTCTCACTTTGTCCCAGATTACCCTTCCCCCTCCCTGTGTCCTCAACTCCATTCTCTATGTCTGCATCTTTATTCCTGTCCTGCCCCTAGGTTCATCAGAATCTTTTTTTTTTTTTTTTTAGATTCCATATATATGTGTTAGCATACCGTATCTGCTTTTCTCTTTCTGACTTACTTCACACTGTATGACAGACTCTAGGTCCATCCACCTCACTACAAATAACTCAATTTCATTTCCTTTTATGGCTGAGTAATACTGCATTGTATAAATGTGCCACATCTTCTTTATCCAGTCATCTGTCAGTGGACACTTAGGTTGCTTCCATGTCCTGGCTATTGTAAACAGTGCTGCAGTGAACATTGTGGTACATGACTCTTTTGAATTATGGTTTTCTCAGGGTATATGCCCAGTAGTAGGACTGCTGGGTCATATGGTAGTTCTATTTTTAGTTTTATAAGGAACCTCCATAATGTTCTTCATAGTGGCTGTTATCAATTTACATTCCCACCAACAGTGCAAGAGGGTCCCCTTTTCTACAAACCCTCTCCAGCATTTAATGTTTGTAGATTTTTTTTTTTTTGCGGTACGCGGGCCTCTCACTGTTGTGGCCTCTCCCTTTGCGGAGCACAGGCTCTGGATGCGCAGGCTCAGCGGCCATGGCTCACGGGCCTAGCCGCTCCACGGTATGTGGGATCTTCCCGGACCGGGGCACGAACCCGTGTCCCCTGCATCGGCAGGCGGACTCTCAACCACTGCACCACCAGGGAAGCCCTGTTTGTAGATTTTTTGATGATGGCCATTCTGACCGGTGTGAAGTGATACCTCATTGTAGTTTTGATTTGCATTCCTCTAATGATTAGTGATGTTGAGTATCTTTTCATGTGTTTGTTGGCAATCTGTATAACTTCTTTGGAGAAATGTCTATTTAGGTCTTCTGCCCATTTTTGGACTGGGTTGTTTGTTTTTTTGAGATTGAGCTTCATGAGCTGCTTATATATTTTGGAGATTAATCCTTTGTCAGTTGATTCATTTGCAAATATTTTCTCCCATTCTGAGGGTTGTCTTTCCGTCTTCTTCATGGTTTCTTTCACTGTGCAAAAGCTTTTAAGTGTCATTAGGTCCCATTTGTTTATTTTTGTTTTAATTTCCATTTCTCTAGGAGGTGGGTCAAAAAGGATCTTGCTGTGATTTATGTCATAGAGTGTTCTGCCTATGTTTTCCTCTAAGAGTTTGATAGTGTCTGGCCTTACATTTAGGTCTTTAATCCATTTTCAGTTTATTTTTGTGTATGGTGTTAGGAAGTGTTCTAATTTCACTCTTTTACATGTAGCTGTCCAGTTTTCCCAGCACCACTTATTGAAGAGGCTGTCTTTCCTCCATTGTATACCCTTGCCTCCTTTATCAAAGATAAGGTGACCATATGTGTGTGGGTTTATCTCTAGGCTTTCTATCCTGCTCCATTGATCTATCTTTCTGTTTTTGTGCCAGTACCATACTGTCTTGATTACTGTAGCTCTGTAGTATAGTCTGAAGTCAGGGAGCCTGATTCCTCCAGCTCCGTTTTTCTTTCTCAAGATTGCTTTGGCTATTCGGGGTCTTTTGTGTTTCCATACAAATTGTGCAATTTTTTGTTCTAGTTTTGTGAAAAATGCCACTGGTAGTTTGATAGGGATTGCATTGAATATGTAGATTGCTTTGGGTAGTATAGTCCCTAGTGCCTGGCACATGGCAGGGGCTCAATATATGCCTATTGGTCTCAACTAAACTATGGTAAAGGACAAATACCCAAGGGCAAAAGGGTAAGAAGCAGAGGTAAAGTAAAGAAAATTTTCTTTAGCTCTCTGGCCATTCTCTGTCTATAGGTGGTCTCCTGTTCCTCCCCCTTTGGTGTTTGTGTCCTCATGTTTTTCTCAATTACTTTATCATAACCTGATCTCAGATCCTTCAAGGAAAATGACTAATACCTGCTCACAGTGCTACTGCCTCTTGGAAGTATTTGAAGCTTAATATTGGTGAAGTCTCAAGCCAGCAGTCTAGACTTTATAGGTTCAAAAGAATCAGCTGAGTGGTTTGGTCAGGATAACTTCAAGGCCTCACTCAGAGATTCTGTTTATTGAGCTGCGGCCCAGGAATGTGTTTTTAAAAATTTTTTTTTTTTTTCAACAAACACCATTAGATGATTCTAAAGCAGGTCTGTGGACAATATTTTGAAAAATACTATCTTAAGCCCAAGGATAAAGATATCAATAAGTAGGTGAAATATTGGGTTGGCCAAAAAGATCATTCGGTCTTTTTCCGTAAGATGGCTCTAGTAGAACTTAGTTGCTTTTAATGTCACTTGAAACAATTTTGTTAGACTGTGCTGTGACAGCTCTCATAGAAGCGTGCATTAAAAAAAAGCTTATCAAAACTGTTGAATTTTTGTGTAGCCATTTTAATATTGAAGATGGAAGAAAAAAGCAACATTTTCGGCATATTATGCTTTATTATTTCAAGAAAGGTTAAAAACGCCACTGAAACGCAAAAAAAGATTTGTGCAGCATATGGAGAAGATGCTGTGACTGATCGAATGTGTCAAAAGTGGTTTGTGAAATTTTGTGCTGGAGATTTCTCACTGGACAATGCTCCACGGTTGGGTAGACAGGTTGAAGTTGATAGCGATCAAATCGAGACATTAATTGAGAACACTGAGCATTATACCATGAGGGAGATAGCCAACATACTCAAAATATCCAAATCAAGCGCTGAAAATCATCTGCACCAGCTTGGTTATGTGAATTGCTTTGATGTTTAGGTTCTACATAAGTTAAGTGAAAAAAACCTTCTTGACCATATTTCCGCATGCGATTCTCTGCTGAAACGTAATGAAAAATGTTCTGTTTTTGAAACAAATTGTGATGGGCGATGAAAAGTGGACACTGCACAATAACGTGGAACAGAAGAGATCGTGGGGCAAGCGAAATGAACCATCACCAACCACACCAAAGGCCGGTCTTCATCCAAAGAAGGTGATGTTGTATATATGGTGGGATTGGAAGGGAGTCCTCTATTATGAGCTCCTTCCAGAAAACCAAACGATTAATTCCAACAAGTACTGCTCCCCATTAGACCAACTGAAAGCAGCACTCGACGAAAAGCATCCAGAACTAGTCAATAGAAAACGCATAATCTTCCATCAGGATAATGCAAGACTGTGTTTCTTTTATTTGCCTTCACCATTTTCCAGCTCAGCAGCAGCCTACTGCTACTAAATGTAGCCTACTGCTACATTTATTTCGGTCTTTACAAAATTCTCTTAACGGAAAAAATTTCGATTCCCTGGAAGACTGTAAAAGGCACCTGGACCAGTTCTTTGCTCAAAAAGATGAAAAGTTTTGGGACGATGGAATTATAAAGTTGCCTGAAAAATGGCAGAAGGTAGTGGAACAAAACGGTGAATACATTGTTCAATAAAGTTCTTGGTGAAAATGAAAAATGTTTCTTTTACTTTTACTTAAAAACCGAAGGAACTTTTTGGCCAAACCATAGATGTTGTTGGACTCAGATCTTAGCAATTTTCAAAACAACTAACAGAAAAGGAACTCAGTACTGCTGACCCCACTTAACTTTTCCACAATTCTCTGCAATGCCTTAAGAGAGATTCAAATGCTGTTCATGTTTTAGAGCATAAGCTCTTTTAGAGCCACTGA